ATAATATGGGTTGGAGTAGCTGCTAGACTGCAGCACGTTCTGGTCAACTCCTGGCAGCCGTGACCCACACCTGTTTCCTGTGACCACTCACCGGGTAGTTTGCTTGGACTTGCGGTCAAATTTAATCACCCCCAGATTTCTGTTCAATATACCTCGTAATAATGCGGAAGGAGCTATACACTCAAGTAATAAAATAGCTTTGTGAACCAGGATGGTATAACCAGTTGTTACAGTACATACAAGGAACACAAGGGAGAAGAGGCAAACGGGTTATTACAGCTTCTGCTAACAACTTGTCATATAGCGTACGAGCACTTCTACCTTTTTAGTAAATAAACTTGGTCTGAAAGCAGATAAATTCGACGAGCTTTTGATGGGCATTCTGTCGTGGCGAAAGCCATGGACCATGCGTGGACATCTAGATGCCAGATGCCACCCTACGTACTACATAGCAGACGACACAGCAGAATCTTTAAATGAGGCCAGATCTCCTGATCCCTCAAAATTGAATTTTTTTCGAATGCCCTTATGGCGCCAACAGTCTGTTCTTTGAATAGCGAGTATAAGAGTGCATCTCCACGGTCTTCGTCAACATTGCGCGTGTCAACATTGCACGTACAGTATATCTGTCAGCAGTATATATTCAAGATTCGCTTGCGGACTCGGGGACCAAAATTCAATCGAAAACGTACATACGCAACGTATCCTTGACTGAGATGCCCTGGGAGGGTGCCATGGCCGCTCTAGCCAGGGTGAATCCTACGATTGCTCAACCAGCTTTCCGTGCCAATGATCCTATTGCAGCAGTTCGATTGAAGGCTTCCGAAACATCATCAGTGATGTGCTGCTCTACAGCTCAGCATGAGATGCATAGTACGACCACAGTGAACGCCAATGCGTCGTTATTGGCTACCAACTTTCATCCGCCTATCATCTCAGTGTCAATGGAATGCAGGCCGTGGAGAAATTTCAGCCGTCCTTTCTTCCGCAATAGTACTGTGGCCACCTCTTCCGCACACAGTGCACTCTGGACTTCCAAGACCAGCCCAGGGACTGTCGGCGCTTTGCCGAGTGCAAGGATGACCCGTGCTGGCCCCACAGCACCCACACTGGCTCAAACACCGTCCGCCAATTCGACTATCCTCATGGGTACAGGAACGCAGGCCCGTGGTGGTAGCCTCTCATTTCTCTTGGCTGCTGTTGTCCTCCTCTCCTTTCTTTGGTTTCTTTGATACGAAGGGGCTGGCGGGGCCTGATGGTCCGCTTTACATTATCTCGTGGTATTCATATATCTGGTTGATCGACCTGTACGTAGAAAGGCACTGGAGACCAACTATTGGTCAAAGGTAAAAGTATAAGAGTATTTAGGGCAGTTTCTGCCAATATCTACCAGATTGAGCATTGTGTATGTCCGACAAAGGCAGAAGCCAACTCTCCGCATTGTAGTAGAGTGGCGGAAGCTATGCACGTTAACGACTTAACATAGCAAGCCTGATGAAACCAGTTCCTTGGATTCATTCAGAACAAGTGGGTTAGGACATACAATCTAGCAGGCGTCAGCATACAGTGGCTGATCGTACGAAGATATTGAGTCGTGAGAAAACCTACTAGATGAAACTAGCTGCTAAAAGCTTAAGGTTTGTTAGGGACGTCCTTAGCCGTCTACGCACTCGTTCTCAAAAGGAGGCTTAGAATTTTCTGATAGCCTAGATTTTGTTCCCTAGGAAAGAAAATGCATTGTCCCCTTAGGGCTAAAGACACAACTCGCGATAGCGACGGCACCACTGCTTGTTACTGCAATCGAGCACGCGTGGGCTACCAATATCGATTACCAATGGCCAGATAATAACCACAGAAGCTACAGACAGCAGGAACATATCGCAATAGCCAAGACCAAACTGGAGCCAGCGGAGAATGCCACTGCCAGCCACGTCGCTGCCATGGCATGTGGACCGAGATTAGCCGTGATTTCATGTTGAAGAAGTCTATCGATTCCCTTAGCCAATAGCTGGTATAAGATGGTCACGGATACTGATGCTCCTATAATCAAGAGAGATGGCACCTGGGCACCAGTCAGCACATTTTCTCGTATGAAGACGCTTAGGTAGCACTTGCCGATGAGGATATCAGAACGGCCACTTCTGTCATTGGAAATTGGACGAAACCTATGTCAAGCAATGAAAGCGGCAATAAAACCAGTTATATAGGCACCTATGATCCATTGTGCAAATGTGGTCGTACCCTTTCAGAACAGGTTGGATCATGTCTGACGTTACTCCATCTGCAGGGCCCAGCCAAGTGCCTAAAACATCTATCGGGTCGAACGAGAAGTGAGCACTGGGCTTTGAGCAATTTGAGAGGGCTTTATCGGTTGGCTTTCCCTCGCAGTAGCTCTGGAGGCCAATTACATAGTATATTGGGAGGAGATATTGCATATGACTGGGCTGGTCCTCAACATGCCCGGTTATGTGGTCTACCGCATCGCTAACAGCTTCCGATAGTCTGTCTGAAAGATACACTATTTCTAGAGATGACGAAGAATTCTGTCCACTATGAATAGCGAGCGATCGAAGCTCATTTAGGTGTTCTGGGTTCCGGATTCCAATCACATTCACCTTCGGTTGTAAGTTGGCCGCGTACATGCACATCAACCATATCCGTATCTTTGGCAAGTACAAGTCTTGAACAGAAGTCGGCGATGTACACGCCGAAAAGATCACGGCGAAACAAACTAGAACGGCGGACGATAAGACCAAGGAGATGATCCTTGGAAGGGATAGCAACATGGATGGACAAGAATGAATGCAGTGACTGCACAGGAAGCCACCGCCACGAGTGAGACTTTATTCAGCGCAGAAACAGGATAATGCGATAGGACGTGTCTGTGGACTAAAAGTAGCAGCGCGTGTAGGACTGTGAAAATCGCGGAGCTATATTCCACCGGAACTTCCAATATCCCTTTCTTCCCTTTTATTTTTGGCTTTTTGCTGGGGTTATGTATATCCCATAGGCCCATTCCAAGGCTTCTTCGGGGCATGAAATATAAACTCATTCTGTTATGTAATGGGCAAACTTTGTCATCATAATTTCAAACCCTAAGTTTGTTGGTCCTGAGTGCACATCGAAAAGAAATTGATGCTGTTAATGAGGGTCAGGCCATACATTACGAATAGTGAGGGTAGAAACGCCCAAGAAGAATGTTACTTTTCTGATTGATCCTTCCATACATGGATTAAATTCAACTAATTCAGAGACTTCGATTTTCACTGAGTGACTTGGCGCATTCGTAGCCATAAATATCCGGTATCCCCTGTGGTAGATTATAGACAGTGCCTGCATTATGTAAGGTTAATGCTAACCCGACCTCAAAAAAAGTCGCGGACTGCCATATGCTCGAGCCGTTCCTAACGAAATCCGTATCATGGAGAATATCTGAATGTAACTTATGTCTTTTTACTAATGATTATCCAAGTGGCCCACATCCAACCATCCAATTGTATACTACCATGGCAGCAGGATGGCTCACCATTGTTGTCTTGTTATTGGGCAGTGGGCTAGAGGCCTTTTCAACGAACTTACCTCTACAGACAGAGTCAGTTTGCCAAATGAACAAGATGATAATTTGAACGGTAGCCCTAATATTGCACACAGGGAACTATGGCAGGAAAGTTCGGAAATCCGGATCTCACCGTCCTTTGGCTCGCCCGTAGTGCTTAGGACTAGCACATCCACCCAGGCAATCACAGTTCAACAACCTGGTCACATCCAACACAGTACACGGCAAACATCGAGCGTGCAGCCGGTGATATCGAGCACAAAGGACCCTGCATCAAAAGTGCCAGACGACAAACAAGAGACTCTAGACCTACAGACGAGGACGACTGTTTCATCGTTATCTCTCCATCCCACTTCCTTCAGTCGGGCAGTCTCTGGCTCGCGGCCTAGTCGTCCCTCCACCAGTAGACCCGGTCATAATAATGCTATATTCGGTGTCGTGCCGATAGTGCCGGAACCGCCCCCAACTACGATCGTCAAGGCAAAACAACATCCCACTACTTCACAATTCGTTTCAGCCGATCTAACGAATAAATCTAACCTATTACCAAATACCAAAACAAGCATCACGGATGCAATGACCTTACTAGCAAACTTGAACGTGGATCCCTCATCACCATCAACAAGCGGGGAGCTTATATTTGATTTAGAGACGTCCATTCTAGACTCCTTTGAAAACGCCAATTCCACGTCCAAGGAATCAACATGGGCGGTCTCCCATCATAGAATGTCGGATAGTGATCCAAGAATGGGTGTTGGCACCGATCGAGATACCGCGGGAACGGCAACCGTTCAGCTTAGCCCTCCTAAAGGGGATGACCCTCCACAGTCTACCAGCACATGGTGTACGTATACGACATTATTTCAATATCAGACACCTGCAGATGCAATGGTGTCTGAGACGTGGAAAGCAACACCAATCAGTTACCCACAACCTCTCCTCATTATGCCAACCTACACTAAGCTGTTGGACACCCCCTTATCATCGCCCAGAGTGCTGCTATATCACAGCGGCAAACAACCGACGGGAACGAACGATGAGAAAGATAATCACATTGACCTTGCCGATTCTGACCATTTGGACGGTGTATCTGACAGTTCCCTTCCTCAATATACTATTAGTACTCCATCTCCCGGTAGAGATGATAACAGACTCATGGGCTTTGATAATTTGCAACCTAGTACGACGTTCGATTCCAGTCCAATGACGTCGGTAACCACGTGGAGTGAGGCAGGGTTTATCGACCATCTGACAGCATCGATGACCCTGGATGTGTCGAACGGAGCAAGTAGGACGCCAACATCTACGAATACGGCAACAACAACAACATCCCTTTACAGTGGCTCGGTGATTGATGGTCCTCGGTGCGCACGGACTATATCGCGCCGGAGCTTGGGCATGTCGGTCAGCGCGGCCGTTGGAGGCACTACTATATTCCTGTTGATCTTTGCCTTGCACCGGCCTATTTACCGATGGATTTGCAGACGACGTACGGGCGTGATTTGGATCGGCCACGCATCAGCCACAAACAGAAGCCATCATACAGAGCTGCGTTCACCTCCCATGCAATATCTGGAGATGTCCCACTTTTCCGATGATTCAGAAGCAGACTATACGAAATCACATAGGGCGTAAAGCGAAGATGGAAGTACGGCCACTTATTTTGGGCATATTTCCACCTGAATGAGGGCTGCATTGCTGTACATCGAAAGCCCCACCCGACGGAGGCGTGCCAGGGAGATGCTACTGATGAACGATAGCATTACCTGGGCTTTCTGTGAGCCGGAGTTCCTCGAATCTATCTAGAGATGCCCTGACAAAACTTTGATATTCTTGCTTTGTTGCGGTGCAGTACGTGAATAGAACTCATACACCTCCAAGGTACGAATACTCACTCCACTCTCCTTGACAGTAGAGCCGTTGCTATACTTTTGATATGATTTGGAACTAACGGCGGCCCTTAGAGCAGCATTATGTTAGTGAAACGAAATTAGCCGTCTATACGATCGACAAGATTGATCTTGGATCACGTGGAGGCAGCGGAAACTTTGAAAGACTCAATATCGCCATGATGTCTATATACGCGCCAACAATATCCTGTTGCTCCCCAGCAAGAGCTTAAAAGCTCCGAAGGTATCTGAGCATGGAATAGATCTAGAACAGTTCCGAAAATATCCATTCGACCACCCTTTAAATTATACCCCCTCTATCAGATGCGTCGCCTACCACATAACACGCTAATCCTGATAGGGTTATCTCAATATTTCATTACCTGTTCCATTGTGGATCTGACAAAATAATCGAGAAAAATATGACGGATCTGTATATCTCAAATACTTTTACCGGTCTTTATAATCAGACCACTCGGACTTTTTGTGACTGGCCTCTGCCGCCTTGCGCTGGTTCTCCAGTCTCCACTATTGGAGAAGCCGTCCTACACTAACGGCCTAATCCGGCGCGAGCTCCAATCGTATAACATATTGACTTCACCGCCGTCGTGCGTAGCGACACTATAGTATATGTTGAAACGGCTCTACTAGCAGGAAGCAAGAATAAGAGAGATATGAGTGTTCTTATTCCTATCTAGGGGTCGCGTAGCGAGAGGCGCAAAGAAGGGGTTCCTGGTATGGTGCTAGCCAGTCACGTGACCACGCCTACTAGTGTCTAGTATTACTGCTTCGACAGTATATACTCCGATTTCTTTTTATGTAGGCATCCAAGCAACAGCTTCACCTCTACACTGATCGCGGGGAAGACGAAAATTTCTCTCTTCGAAAAGCTCGTGGATAAGGTTGAACTGCTTCCTGCGCAGACCTGCCTTAGCTGCCATTATTTAAGGTACGGTACTATTACCTTATATATACAGAACAGGTAATTTACCAAGTTTTCTCAACTTCTTATGAAGATTACAATACCACGGGATTAAGGTCTAGAAGAACAATATCTCTGTGTCCAACATGGAAGGCAATAACAGTCAAAACACTGCGTTGTGACTACATAAGAAGCCGTCTGGTAGGCATGCGTTAATCCCGATGTGTTTCCCAAGGCCGACAGAGATATGGTATGACCAGGTTACCGAATGTGCTAGCGGAGGGAACGTCAAACGACGAGTCGTATAGCACTATAAGCACTGTAAGCCAAAAATTCCCCACTCCCCTCCCTACGTATAGCCCAAACATCAGATCATCAATCATCACACTGGCTTTCACTACATTCATGGGAACTTGAATAAATCGGCCCGCTTTCGGGGACCCCAATCATACTCAGGGTATCTAAATTGGATATCTGCGTATTTATTTGAGCAGCCAACGTACACGCATATAAGTTTCGAGAGATTTTCCAGGCCGCAGTTCCGACAAGACGGTAAGCCCTACACAGCCTCCTTCACCGATGGAATTACACGTGTCCCGACTTCTTCCTGATCTGGTTCAGGGCAATGCTTGTGTTGGGTAACAACATCTTCCAGAGTCTTTATCATCGGTGTTGGATAATATCCACTCTATACTCGTTAGATTCCGTCTTGTGTCTGCGAAACCGGGGACTTACCAGCTCTGGCATGGATGGAAGCCAATTTTCCGATGGAGAAGAATTGAAAATATACCTTTGGCCGCTTCTCTTGACCCGTATC